AGGCAGGGAGGGACCCCCGTTCAGTCCGAGGCCGTGCGGGGCCCGCGAGGCTGGGGCGGGATGTCACAGATGCACCGGCTGCACGTAGCTGCGCGGGAAGAAGCCCTCGTGCCCGCCCGCGCGGCCCCGCCACCAGTGGGGGTCCGGCCGCTCCAGGACCTCGAGGATGTCGCCGCGGCGGAAGCTGAGCTGGGAAGGGTCCTGGGCCGAGAAGTCAAACTGGGCCTGGGCGAAGCAGGTCCGCGGCGGCTGCAAGGGGAGGCCGCGGTCAGTGGGCACCCCCGAACCCCCCCGGGAAGAGCCAGGGGTACAGTGGGGGACCGCGGAGGGGTCTCAGGGCGGCACCAGGGCCGACCAAGCCCCGGCCAGGGGTGGCTGCGCACACGGCTGTATCCGCATGGCCTGTGTGCCTCCCAGAAGCCGAGGGTATGCGGGCAACAACCCGGCTTCGCAGGCAGCGCAGCCGGCGGGTGAGGGCTGTCATCCTGGTCCTTAGGGTGTGATTTGGGTGAGGTGCTGAATCAGACATGGTAACCTTGATTCCAGGTATGGCACCACAGCATCGGGCGTTATACACGGTCACGTGATTCTGCTAGAAGCAGTCCTGTGTTTGCTGCTTATATTGCCCTCCTCAGATGGCCGGGGGGAGGAGCACTGTATCTCCAGGTGTCTCACCGCTCAGGCCTGGGGTCTAGGCCTCCCTGTGCTTCAGGTGGGACTTTTGGCTATCACTGGCCTTTAGGGGTCTGGATTCCTCCCAGGCACACAGCTCAGCAACTTTCTGCCGCACAGGGCCCAGCCTGCCCCAGGTCGGCTGGGGGTGGGGTGGGGGTGGGGAGGGTCTCAGCTCTGAGCCTGCAGAATGCTATCCTCCAGGATGCTGATAGGATCATCAGAGGCTCTGTAATTAGGGGATCTCTACCCAGGAAGGAGGAGGCGGCAGTTGTGAGTCCCAGAGAAATGAGCCAGCATGGGCAGCCACCCACCCCACTGGATGGGTAACGCCAGAGCCCAGCGCCGGATACAGCACGAGCCTCAGCTGGCCCCTTAGCTCCATCCTGGCTTCGGCACCCTTTTCCAGGGTAGAGCTGGCCCCTGAGGGCTAAGTGGGGGGATAGAGTTCTGGGAGAACAAAGACCCAGCTGGGGGAAGGGTCTTCCTGGAACTGGAAGCTCTCAGGCGACTGGGCTCCTGACTGTGGGTCAGACACAGGAGGCCCACAACGGGTGTGCTAGTAGGGGCTCGTCAGGGAGTTTGCCTCTCATGGCAAATCAAACCCCCGGGGCTCACTGTGTTGAGCAGAGGGGAAACTGAGGCCTGATTGAAGGTTGGACCAGCCCTCAGGTCACACAGCTAGGTGTTTGAGCGACACATAGTAGGGCTGGCCTTTCACTGTGGCGTTAGGCAGCCTCCTCCTCAGGTCTGAGCTCCTGGTACACTGTGCAGAGCCCCAGTTCAAATGTCCTGAGGTCTTGACCCAGGCTTTGCCAGCACCCCTCTTTCCAAGGAAAACAGTGTGCTGGGGCTAATAACCTCATTGGCCGCAGCCATCATTATAATGAGAGTGAGAGCTGGTCCCCGGGGGAGCCTTGATGAAAGGGCTGGTTGGTGGCAAATTGCTGTTATTGTGAGGATGAGGGGTGGATGGATCCCTCCACACCCTGTTCCCAGCCAGGTCTCATCTCCCCCAGGGCTTACAGGGCCCCGTGTCCCACCTAAGGCCAGGAGGCTCTCGGAGTGCAGAGACCAGCTCAGCGTGTGGGACTCAGTAGGTGTTCGTTCACTCATTCATTCCTTCAACTATTGCTGGCACTGTGGACCAGTCAGACAGAACTCCCGTCTGCCCCCCCCTTGATGGCCCTACCTTGAGCATGGGCTCCTGGTCCCGCAGGAAGATCTGCCGCCTCTTGGCGATGGTGGTGGTGCGGTAGAAGTCGACCAGCTCGTTCAGGGAGTTGAACTTCTCTTCCCACAGGAAGTACTTTCCCGAGGCTTCACGCAGCACCTTAAAGTGCTGCACCTGGTCCCCATAGCTGGGGGAGAGGACCCACAGCCGCCTCAGACCCCGCCTCCCTCACCCACTGCCCACAGCCAGGCTTTCTCTGGGTTAGATCTGGAGTGGAGTAGGGGAGGTATTAATAGAGAGACTCCATTGGCCTGGCTCCACATAAGAGCTGAGAGTTCTTCCTGGCATGGAATATGGGGTTCAAGGTGTGGGCTCTGGATCAGCCCATTTTCTTGCTGTGTGACCTTAGGCAAGTTACTTAACTTCTCTGAACCTCAGCTTCCTCATAATGCTAACATCTCCCTTAGGATAAGTCAGCAGGAAATGCTGGCTGCGGCTTGCTGACCACATGAAATGTCTCTTTCTGAGTGCTTCTCTTTCACGTTTTGTCAACATCCCCCTCTACTTTAACAGTCTCCCCACATCCCTGCCCCTTCCCAGGCCCCACAGTCCCTTGGGAAGTGAGTCCTAAGCTCACCCTAACTAAGGACAAAGCCTGCTACTGTGAGAGTAACTCAGGATTTCTGGATACTTCATGTCCTTTCTTCACCTTCAAGAACCTCCTAGGAGCCAGGCACCCATGGCTCACAGTCCACACAGGAGGCTGAGCTCTGAGGATCACGGTTCAAAGCCAGCCTGGTAAGAAAATTTGTGAGACTCTTTATCACCAATTAACCACCAAAAAGCCAGAAGTTACTCAAGTGGTAGGGTTCCTCCCCACCAAAAAAAAAGGAAGGAAGGAAGAAAGGAAGAAAAGAAAACAAAAGCTTCTGTGGCTCCCCGGTGCCCTCATAAGGAAGGCTTAAGCAGAGCTAAGAACTGGTCTGGTGGCACGTCAGTCTCCTTTCCTTCACGTCTTCTGTGATGCAGCTCAGAGCCCTTCTCTTTCTCTCCATGTGCGCAGCCGCCAGCCCACTACTAACCAATTGTCCCTCCCTGTGCAACTGACGAGATAAATCACAGGTTTTCCGATTTGGCGGGCAGGTCAGGCTGTGCAGGGCCGGGGTGGAAGGGGGTGCTGGCGTGGGAGTTCACTTCTGGGCGGCAGAGGTGTGGGTGGGCCTGCCTCACAGCCCAGGACAGTGGGGAAACTGAGGCCTGAGTGCAACCAACCTGCTTGAGGACTCCCAGGCAGGAAGGTGAGGGTAGGAGCCATAGGGGAGTTCAGACATGCTGTGACGAGCTCCCGATTGATTGCTGGGGTGTGACAGAAGCAGTCATTATTCCTGTGATATTAACTGTGGCCCAGATCTCATTCCACGTCCAGATCCCTCTGTCCTGCTGCTCCTGGGCTGTGCCCCCATGAGGCGTGCCCCCCTCCTTCCCCGGGGCCTGGCTTCACCCCAACTGCCCTTCCCACATGCCCAGTCAGCCCCTCCCTGAGCCTTGGGTGCCTGTCTGGGAGACACAGCATGGCTGCCCCTCCTTGAAGCCAGGCAAAGGAGGCTGAGGCTGACCGGGGCCCGAGCAGGTGTCTAGACTTGCTGAGGAAAACAGAACAGCCCCAGCGCTCTATGAAGCAGGGCTTGCTTAGTGTGTATGGACTCCTGTTCGGGTGGCTGGCGGGGCTGAGAGCCTGTGGTCTGGTCCAGTGTGGCCAGGGGCATAGTGAGGCAGGTGACTCCTTGGTCTCCCGAGCCACAAACCACAGCCTGTTGTGTTCACATTAGGGGCTCAGTGAGATCCGACCTCCGGTACAGAGGCTGACCATCTCTACACTTAGAAGGCTGAGAATCCGAAGATCAAGGTTCAAGGCCAATAAGGGCAGAACTGTGTGTGAGGCCCCTTCTCAATGAAGAGCTGGCCGCGGTGGCATGCCTGTGATCCCAGCTATGCGGGTTCCTGGCAGAGGCAGGCGGCGCTCAGTTTCACACTCTATCTCAATATTAACCAGGGCTGCACTGGGCTCTTGCGGCTCATGCCTGTGATCCTAGTTACTCAGGAAGCTAAGATCTGAGGATCGAGGTTAGAAGCCAGCCTAGGCAGGAAAGTCCTTGAGACTCTTCTCCCCCAATTGATCACCAAAAAACCAGTAGTGGGGCTGTGGATCATGGAGTTGAACACCATCCTTGCTTGGAAAAGCTAAATGATAGTGCCCAGGCCCTGAGTTCAAGGTCCATTACAGACACACACAGAGGTACACCCCCCCCTCAAGTTCTGCAGCCCCAGGGGCCAATGTGGACACTGCATTTACAAACCTGGGTACTCCCACAGCCCCAGTCCTTCAAGCATCGTGTCCCCTAAACCACAGGGCTACAGCCATCACCTCCACTGCCCAGCCCTGCGGCTCAGCCTGTCCCACCCCCGCCTTAGCTGGTCCGCCCTGGGGCTGTGCCACTAAACACGTAAGATAAGGATTTGAGATAACAGTAAATCAACGGTGACCGAAGACTCCCCCCGTCCCTGCACACCTGGCTGAGTCAAGATGTCCAACGAACAACATTGTCTCCTCTCCATCCCTCCCCCTTCCTGCCTTCAGGCACTCACCATTTCCTCCAGCTGGAAGGAATTCTGACCTCTTTTCATGCTTCAAGGCAAGGCCCTAATTAAATGGCCTTTCCTCCACAAACCACCTCCTACCCCCTTATCAGACTTAGGAATTCCTTGGGCCGCTCTGACCCGCAAAGCCTTCTTGTTATCCACTGCTCAGAATGACTCAAAGACTACCCATTAGAGAGGGCTCTGGAAGCCCCAGCCAGATGAGACCCAGAGCGGGGACAGTTACCACCTACGCCGAATTCCTATCAGAACTCCGTTTCAGAAATGTCCATTGGGCCAGGTGCCAGTGGCTCACGCCTATAATCCTAATTACTCAGAAGGCTGAGATGTGATGATCTCAGTTGGAAGCCAGCCTCTGGGCAGGAAGGTCCATAAGACTCTCATCTGTAATAAACTATTCAAAAAGCGCCAGAAGTGGCACTGTGGGGCAAGTGGTAGAGCACTAGCCTTCAGCACAAAGAGGCTCAGAAACAGCACCCTGGCCCTGACTTGAAGCCCCAGGACCAGCAAAAAAATGAAATTTATATATGTGTATATATATATATATAGAGAGAGAGAGAGAATAGAATAAAAAAATTTTTGTCAGTCATGGGGCTTGGGCACTGACCCTGAGCTCTTCAGCTCAAGGCTAGTGCTCTACCACTTGAGCCACAGCACCACTTCTGGTTTTCTACTGGTTTATTGGAGAAAAGAGTCTCACAGACTTTCCTGCCCGGGCTGGCTTTGAACTGCAATCCTTGGATCTCAGCCTCCTGAGTAGCTAGGATTACAGGTGTGAGCCACCGGCGCCTGGCTTAGAATAAATTTTTTTCTTTCGGGGCTGGGAAGGTGGCTCAGTGGTAGAGCGCTTGCCTTGCATGCATGAGGCCCTGGGTTCGATTCCTCAGCACCACATAAGCAAAAAGAAAAAAGCCAGAAGTGGCGCTGTGGCTCAAGCGGTAGAGTGCTAGCCTTGAGCTGAAGAGCTGAGGGACAGCGCCCAGGCCCAGTCCCACGACCAAAACAAAAAACAACAAAACCGGGACTTGTACCAGGCCTGGCCTGTGCTCAGTGCACGGCAGGCCCTGTCCCCCCACCTGGCCCGTGCTTGCTGCACCCTGGCTGAGGAGGCTGGCTGGACAGCCGGGTGACGACAGACGCAGGCAGCCACACTGGCGTGTGGTGCACAGGAGCAGCTCAGCGCCGGAGCCTCCCCTCACGGCGAGAGATGGCAGCCCGCGGCTGGGCCTGGAGTGAGTATTGGAAAGCTCTGGCAGGATAGCAGGGCTCCCGCAGCCTCTGGTCCCCGGGGCTGGAGGCCCAGGCCTTCAGCTGTTGTCACCCAGGAGGTGTGACCCTGACCCCAGGGCAGACTGTGCAGACAGCCGAAAATCCAAGGACCCAGTGCTCACGGCCGCCGGTCCTGCCTGGCGGGTTTTTCTGGAATGGTAGCAGGGGTGGGGGCAGCAGCAGGAGCAGCAGCAAAGGTGACTGGCAGCCTGGGGGGGGGGACAAGGTGAGGGGGGGGGGCAGCAGCCTGGGGACTCCCCTGGACCCACCCAGATGTCCATCTCCACCATGCGTAGCTGCTCTCCAGCCATGGGACCAAGGCGGGGACCTTGTACTGTAGCCAGGAAACTGAATGGAACTGACTTTGAGGCACAGTCAGGGGAGACAGACCCCCCAACGGATGTTTGGGTGTCAGGGAAGGGGGGTGGAAGGGCAGACCGGGCTAGTCAGGGCACAGGAAGTGGCATCTGTCCTGCTGTTCCTTGCTGTGGGGCCTTAGCCAAGTTACTGCACCTCTCTGAGCCTCAGTCTCCTTACCTACAAAGCGGGTTCCCTCCCCCTTGTCTGCATGGACAGCCGGGCCTGAAGTGTCACCATCACAGCACAACACAAGAGCGCCTGTCACCCCAGGCGCCACGGGCCAGCTTGGCAGGGCAGACACACGGACATTGAGACCCCATCGGCTAGCAAGGAAGGAAACCCCTCACTGGGGGGACACACTGCCACTGACCACAAGAGAGCCCCTGGTGGCCTGGCAGGAGTGTGGGCACGAGTTGGCAGCCCTGGCTCCTGTCCTGTCAGCTGCCAGCTCAGGCCCGCCCCTGGGGAGTGGAGGGGGGCAGCCCTTTGTAAACTCGTAAAGAGCAGCTGGCTGTGACCACGGTTGCTCGGCAAGGCAGCCCGGGCCCATAAACCCACCTTTGACAGCTTTATGAGGCTTGGCAGGGGGGTGCGCGGGATGCCGCACGTGGGGGTCAGAGATCCCGAGGCCCAAGCCAGCCAGGGAAGGGAGCTCACAGACAGACAGACAGACAGACAGCTTTCTCTGATGACCACCACCTCCCTGGCTTCAGAGACTGCCTGGGGTCACACAGCAAGTCAGGGTGGGGCCTGGATGAGACCCCAGCTTCCCCGGGCCACTTGTCTGAGAGGCCTGGGGACGGGCTCGTAGCTTACCACACGTCCTGGTGGGTTCATGGCAGTTACTCTAGCAGCCATTGATCCAACATGGGTCAGTGACTGAACTGATCTCAATGTAGACATCCTTTTTTGTTGTTGGTCGCGGGTTGAACGCTGGGCCTGGGCGCCGTCCCTCAGCTCTTCAGCTCAAGGCGAGCACTCTACCACTTGAGTCACAGCGCCACTTTCGGGTTTCTGGTGGTTTGTTGGAGATCAGAGTCTCACGGACTTTCCTGCCTGGGTTTACTTTGAACCTCGATCCTCAGATCTCAGCCTCCTGAGTGGCTAGGATTACAGGCGTGAGCCACCGGTGCCCAGCTAGATGTTTGTTTTTTATAGATGGGGATAACTTGAGAATTAAAAACCTAGAATTACATAGCCAATAGGTATTAATCACACCCTAAACACATGTCCCTAACCTCAGAGAGTCTTGGTTTTGCCCACTTACACCCCTATTGGGTAGTTTCTAAGACACCCCCCCCCTGCTCCATCTGGGAGAAACTGAGGGTCTAGAGCGCCATCTGGTGGTGCAGTGTACAAACCACAACCACTGAGCTGGGAGCCTCCATGCCATGGGGTGGGGACACCGCCGGCAGAAGCTGAGGGGAAGCTGCCAGGGTCTCTGAGCACTGCTTTCTAGTCCCTGCCCAGGACACATTGGGCTGGGTCCCCTCTTTAAGAACTTCCTAGCTGCCCCTGGTCAGTCTGCTGCTATCCAAACAGCCCTCTCTGTCTCACCCTGGGTCTTGGCAGTTGCTTTGTACTTTTTTTCCCCTTGTACCTTCTCTCTCCTAGTGTACCAAACTCCTATTCGTGCCTCAGGGCCCAGCCCACATATTACCCTGGTTCCCGTGCTTTAACCTTGCCATGTGACCATTACTGTGAATTTCCTTTATCCATCTGAACACCATGGAGACCATTGGGGCAGCTGTGGCCATTTCTCTTTCTATTTTTCTTTCCTCTCTCCTTCTCTCCCTCCCTCCCTTTTTTCCTTCTTTTGCCAATTCTAGGGCATGAACTCAGAGCGTGGGCACTGTCTCTTAGCTTTTTCACTCAAGGCTGGCACTCTACCACTTGAGTCACTTCTAGCTTTTGGCTGGTTAATTGGAGATAATCTCTCAGATTTGTCTGCCTGGGATGGCTGTGAACCACAGTCCTCAGATCTCAGCCTCCTGAGTAGCCAGGATTACAGGCGTGAGCCGCCAGTGTCCAGCTGTGTGTCAGTTCCCTGAGTGTGGTTCCCCCTGTGGTGTGGGCGAGGCACTCAGGGCTGGTCATGTGAGAGCCACCGGCCCAGCAGGGCTGCGGAGAGGCTGGGCTGGGCTTCCTTGCATGAGATGGGCGGGTGGTAGGCCAAAACTCCCCTCTGCTCCCTGGCCCCCTCCCCTTGCCTGGTGGGTGACCTTAGGCTTTGGGGTTTTAGTTCCAGGCGCCTCTTGAAGCCCAGCCAGCCTGCCTGGCGGGCGCCATTCCCAAGAGATGGCCAGGCCCTGGACGGTGGCCCTGGAATAGAGCCGCTTCCTGCCTCCGGGAAAGCAGCTCTGGGGGCTGCAGGGACCGTGGTGAGGGACAGGAGAGCCATGGTGACTCCAGCTGCCCCCGGCCATCCTGCGGACAGCTCAGGGCTTCCTCCCCACACATGCTGGCTGTGCCTGTATTTTTAAGAAGGGGAATGAGGAGACTGAGGCCCAGAGAGGGTCACGTGCTCTCCCCTACCCCCATGACTGGTGTCCCCAGAGGAAGGGGAAGCCATGACTCATGGCGGTTTGCATAGCTCAGGGACAGCAATCCAGAGCGCCGGTGGCTCACGCCTGTCATCCTAGCTACTCAGGAGGCTGAGATCTGAGGATCGCGGTTCAAAGCCAGCCCGGGCAGGAGAGTCCATGAGACTCTTATCTCTAATCAACCACCAGAAAACCAGAAGTGGCACTGTGGCTCAAGTGGTAGAGCGCTAGCCTTGAGCTGAAGAGCTGAGGGACAGCGCCCAGACCCAGAGTTCAGGCCCACAACCTACCAAGAAAAACAAAAAACCCAGAGTGCTGGGCCCTGTGACACTGGAGATTGTCACATGTGCCACCAGCCTGGCTGGCCAGCAGGTGTCCCTCGTGGTCCCCGTCCCCCCCCCCCAAGGACCGATCCCATGCAGAAGGGCTGCCGGCAGGTCGCAGGTCATGATGAGTTTCTGCTCCTGAGAGCCGGGCAGGGGCTGGTGCAGCCTCTCTGAGGTCAGGAGGGGACCCTACTCAGGCCCTTCTCTGCCTCTCCAGGGTCCCCCCACCCAGCGCTCCTCTGCACCAGGAGCCATGCCACAGTGTCTGGCCTGCCCCTCCCCCCTGTCCCTTAGCCTGGGCACAGGGAGTGCCCCCCCCCCAGCTCTGAAAGTTGCACAGAGCCATGTCACTGCCCAGACCCAGCCTCAGCATCCAGCCCTCACACCCTGCACCGTCAGGCTGCCTGCCACCTGGCCCCAGTCCCTGTCCTGTGTCCCCCCCTGTCTACACGGCCCCCTCTGGCTCCTACACACTCCACATGCGTTCCTACCTCAGGGCCTTTGCACTGACCAGTCCCTCTGCTGCAAACCTTTCCTCCCAGATCCTTATTCCTGGGCCTCTGGAAGCCTCCATCTCCTGGTTCAACAGCCTTCCCTGACCACCCTGTGTTATTTCCTGGTTGTCACCTCGCTGAGACATACACCCACAAAGGCCACTCTGTTTCCCCAGCTCCCAGTGCGGGGCCCGGCCCTGATCTATCACCCCACCCCACCCCTGCTCCCCCATGCCTCTGGAGCCGCCCCCTCGCAAACAGACAGCTCCCATCCTGGCCACCCTCCCTCAACGCTAGGAACCCCCTAGCTTTGAGTGTCTTAACCCATGTATTCCTTCCCACTTCACACGTGAAGACAGGGCTCAGAGAGGTCAAGCCCTTCACCCAAGGTCACACAGCCAGAAGTAGAAGCCAGGCTCTCCTGTTCTGGGGGCGGGTCCTCTCCATAGCATTGCTGTAGGGTGGGGACAGCCGCCCCGGGGGCACCCTGGTCTTCCCTGCCCCCCTCCCTCAGTGCCCTCACTCTCCCAGCTCCCCCGCCCCCAGGCGCAGCTCACTTCACAGACACGGAGAACTCCCCCGGGGAGCTCTCGCTCTCCCGGATCAGGAAGGCGCCCAGCTGGCCCCTCTGCGTCAGGATCTCTTCAGCCAGCTGCCGGGAGATCCGGCCCGAGTACCACCTGCGGGGGGCGGGGGACGTGCTGGGGCTGGACAGGTTATGGCGATTCCCCCCCCCCAATAAAAACCCCACGCAATGTGCCCTCCACACCACCCAGCCTCCACACCACCCACCCAGCCTCCACACCACCCAGCCTCCACACCACCCACCCAGCCTCCACACCACCCAGCCTCCACACCTGAACCAAGGGAGGCCTCACTGCACCTATTTTCACAGGTGGGGGAAACTGAGGCACCAAGGGGCAACGCGAGCCGCCCAAGATGGCTGCTGAGCGCCTGAGCTTGGGACCCTGACGCTGGTGTCCTCCCCAGCAGGGGCCGTGGCAGCTGGGGTGGGCAGGAGGGGAGCTGCACCCCACCCCGCCCCACCTCTGCAGCTGGGCCTGCACGGGGGTTTCCTGAGAGGCCCTACGTCTCCGAAGAACCCACAAAACCCCACCAAACTCCTAGAAGACGTCAGTGCGGGGGCGGCTGGCACCCTGAGGTGGCACCGTTGCACACCCCAAGGGGGCCCCGCCCTGCCCCCCAACATGGAAGATGGGGTGAGGAAAGCACCCCAAAATGCCAGTGCCAGCCTCCTTTTCTACCTTATCTCTCTGGCTAGCACTCTACCACTTGATCCATGGTGCCATTTCCAGCTTTTTCTGCTTATGTGGTACTGAGGAATCAAACCCAGGGTTTCCTGCAAGCCAGGCAAGCGCTCTACCACTGAGCCACCTTCCCAGGCCCCTTATGTCTCTTTTACCAACGTGGAACTTGAAACCCAGAGAGGGGCAGCGCCCCCTGAGATGCTGCACAGGGACCATGGCTCTCCCAGAATCCCCCTCCCCCCTCCGGGCCAAGTGCGCACAGGGCCAGCGCCTCCCCGCTGCAGCTCCGCTCTGCCTCCTGCCTGCTGTGTGACCCAGGACCAGTCACTGAGTCCCTGTGCCTGTCTCCTGGTCTGTAAGCAGTGCCCTAGCCTCACCTCACGGGCCCCTGAGAGCTGCTGCTGCCGGTATCCGCATGCACCCCTCCTGTCCTCTGCAAAACCCAGTGGGGACTGGGTGTCGGGCGCTTTCGCTCATTGGCCGTTGCTCTACCATCTGAGCCACACTCCCAACTCCTCCCTGGAACTCTTCTCCCTTGACCTCCAGGCCCAGTGGCCCATGCCCTTCCTCTAGGAAGCCCTCCCTGGTCCGTTAGCTGGTCACGAGCCTCCTTGCTCCGGGGGACGGGTCTGGGAGCACTGGGTCTGCACCCCCGGCTCCCAGGGACAGTGGGGTGACAGTGGGGCTCAGCAGGAGTGGGCCCGGCTTCGCGCACGCGCGCGCACAGCCTGCTGAGACTCAGCCCTCCGGGACTGAGTCAGCTGGAGTTTCCTGGAAGCAGAGTCCTGCCAGGCCCCTAACAGCTGCTGTGGCCTGAGCCTCGCCCTGCTACCTCCTGCACCAGTGGCCACAGCATCGAGGCCCCCACTGCTGGCATCCCCTGGAGGACGCCTCGGGTCTGAGCTTGGGGGGTCTCAGCAACGTCCCACTGGACAGGGTCCTTGGGCCCCCAAAGGAGCCTGGAGCCCACACAGTGGCCCTGGACCAGCTGCACCCAGCACAGGAAGCCGGGGGTGGGGGCAGTTTTGGAAACAACCCAAAGAAAGATAAAGAGGAAATACCCTCCGCGGGCCCCACCTGGGCCTGCGCCTCCTGCCCCGGCCTCAGCCCTGTCACCTGCCCGCACGCCTCCCTGCGTCCTCGTCTCTGCCTCCTCCATGGCTCCCTACAACCCCCCGGCCTGGCCTCTAAGACTCCTGCCAGGAATTCTCTCTCCGTACTCTCCCTTGGCTTTTCCTGGCCTTCCCTTGTTTTCTAGTTCTGCTATCCAGCCAACTCCTGCACATCCTTCAAAGCCTCACTCCTTATAGCTTCTGGCTTGCCTTGGTCAGTCACCCCAGTGCTGTCTCTCCACACAGCGTCTCTGTTACTGCTAACAGGCCAAGGCTGTTCTGGCCCCTCTGTGTCCCCTGCACTACCTATGTGGGGGTCCCCCCGCGACCGTACAGTGGCCTGGCTGTCATTTAAGACCTATGCAGCTGGGGACTGGTAGCTCAGCCACTCAGGAGGCTGAGGTCTGAGGAACACCGTTCACAGCCAGCCTGGGCAGGAAAGTTCGTGAGACTCTTCTCTCCAGTGAACCTCTAGAAAACTGGGAGTGGAGCTGTGGCTCAAGTGGTAGAGTGCTCGCCTTGAGTGAAAAAGCTCAGGGAGAGCACCCAGGTCCTGAGTTCAAGCCCCATGACCGACAAACACAACCCCCCCAAGCCTATCCCGCTGGTTTCATGGATTTCTCGATGCCACACTGTCAGGGCAGCAGTGGACGCGGCCTGCAGCCCGCCGGGGCCAGCAAGTCCCGGGAGACCCAGGTGCACACCCCGCTCCCCCGTCCGAGCCTCTGCCCCAGCCAGCGGGGGACACCGCACCCAGGGGACCTCGGGGGTACTCACGGGTGGGGCTTGACACGGATGTAGTTCTTGGGAACGAAGCCCTCTGCCCCCCGGAGCTCGGCCTTGTACCAGTTCTGGTCATCCTCCATGTTTAAGATCTGAGGGGAGGGGAGACAGCCGCTGGTCACCAAGAGGGATAGCTGTCCCCCGCACGCCCCCCGCCCCGCCCCCTGCACACCCATCAGGTCACGGCCCCATCAAGGGCCCTTGATGTGAGTGTGGGGGGGGAGGGGGTTCTCACATCTGCCTACCACACACAGCCTCTGGTGAGGAGCGCAGCCCCAGCCCGGCCCAGCCCGCTGTGTCCCAGGTCACCTCCAGCCCCGCCACGCGAGGTAGGCTAAGAGGAACTGAGATGCATCACCTGAGTGGGGGTGGAGGTCGCTGGGGTGAGACACGGGGCTGGGGGAGAAACAGGCCTGACCTGGGAAAAACTACTGTCCCCCCCTAGCCTGAAACCCCCCCCCCAGCCAGATGGAGCCCTTCTTTCCTGCCCTGAGCCTGAGCCAGGCTGGCTGGCCCATCCCAGCCACAGATGGAAGTGGGTAGCTGAAAAAAACCAAATCCTTGCACTGGTCGGGTGAGGAATGGGGCCTGCGGGCTGCCTGCCACAGGTTCCTGGAAGATGCCCTGGGGGGGGGCCGGCCCGTCCCCTGCCCCACCCCTCCTGCGCCCTGAGCTCCGTGCCCTCATCTGTCAGGTGGACACGCTCAGAGCCTGCACTGGCCAGGCCACTGCCTGTGGGCCACAATAACCTGGGTCCTGCCATGTCCAGCCTCACCGTCCTGATCCTTGTCCTTTCCACTTGGGATCCAGAAATGTCCTTGTGGTAACCTTAGCCGATCTCTGTGTGTGTGTGCATGTGCGTGCACTGGTCCTGGGGCGCACTGGTCCTGAGCTTTTGTGCTCAGGGCTAGCTCTCTACCACTTGAGTCACAGCGCCACTTCCAGCTTTTTGGTGGTTACTTGGAGATAAGGGTCTTATGAACTCTCCTACCCAGGCTGGTTTTGAACTTCGATCTTCAGATCTCAGCCTCCTGAGTAGCTAGGATTACAGGTACGAACCACCAGTGCCGCCACCTGGCATTCAGTTTTGTCTAAGCTGGGCTCCAACTCCAGCAGCAGCAGCAGCAGCAGCAGCAGCAGCACACTGGCTGCTTTCCTTCCTTCCTGTGCTCAGTTTACATGAATCAGAAGGCCACAGAGCTTATTTTGTTTTTTACTTACTTTGAGCTGGAAGCTCACTAGGTAGCTCAAGCTGGCCTTGAGCTCCTGGACTCAAGTGATCTTCCCACCTCAGCCTTCCAAGAGCTGGGACTCTGGGCGAGTGCTTGCTTTTGTGTCTGGGCAATATCTATTGCCTGTCCTTCACAGCCATACCTGGCCCTCGCCCACGTTGTACGAGTGTACCTGTCAGTGGGGTGCCACTGGCTCACACCTGTAATGCTAGCTATTCAGAGGCTGAGATCCGAGGATCACAGTTCAAAGCCAGTCTGGGCAAGAGAGTCTGTGAGACTCCACTCATACACACACACACACACACACACACACACACACACACACACAGCCATAAATGGAGCTCAAGT